AATATTATATGTCTAATCTCGGACGCTTCTATCTGAGACTATGTTTCATAATAACAAAATATTAAACTTTTACTCAGGATAGGGTCTGTTACTATCTAACGGTCGAGCACGTTTTACTTTTCTGTTATATATCTGGCCTTCTAACGCCACAATGTGGCTTTATTAGATGCCTATCATAATGCCGGCTAATGAGAAGTCACACGGTAACAGCAAAATAAATCATCCGAGAATCATATTCAGTCTATTTTTTAAAGCTGGGGGGAACTTGAATTAGCTTTTTGGATGTTACAAGAGTTAGCGCTGCGGAAACCAGACTTTTTAGTTGAGAAACTTCTAAGGTTATCTGTAACTAAGCGGAACCGGAAACCGAAAGTAAAATTTTTTACGAATACGGAAACTTATCAGAACCGGAAAGATTCTCTTACATTAGTACATGCGGGAACTAGAAATTTACGGAACCGGAAACTTATCGGAATCGGAAACTTTTCGTTGCATGTCGCAGTCTTGCGGAAACTAGCAGCTTTTTAGATGTAGAGCTTAACCGGAACTTACCGGAACTGAAAACTAAAGCGTCAATTTACCAGAAATTTTGCGGAAACAGTAACTTATCGAATACAGTACGTTTGGTCTAACTATTTAAACATAAATCTACACTTTATTAATAATCCTTAATTGCCTCAGACGATGAAACGAGGTTAGGTCACCACTTGCCACTCAGTTATTTAACTTTAACGGCAATAAGATTGAACCACTTCCAAACATCTTTTAGGTTAAACCTTTCTGGGGTGATCGTGAAGCAAGAGTCAATATTTGCAATCAGCGTTCAATAGCTTGTGTAACGTTCTTTTTCTCCAATTCATTTGTCTTTCTTTTTCATCGCTAAGCTAACTAAATTATATTCTACATTACAACTGCTAGAAAATGGTACACAAACTTCAGAGTTATGATTATTGAAATTGACTTCAGCAACAAAACCCTTACCATATTTATATTTTCAAGTAGTTAATATTTCATACAATTAACACAAACAAGTAACTTGTGTGGTTACCCGCCTACCAATACTTTCCACCTTCACTACTGAACTGAAGGCGTGCCTGAACTACGCAGCTCAGTCCGCTGGGTCAAATTTAATTGTATACAATTAAAATATTCAATTATTAATATACAGAAACATAAAGCATGCCACATCCGCTGTGGCATGTAGCACACATACAAGTACATACATGCGTAAATGAAAAGCTTAACATATTGTACATATTGTGTATGCAACATGATTTACGCCAGTGTGCGGCAACACCTTACTAGGTGACCACCGAAAATGCCCGCACATAAAATAAACCGCGCAGCATTGTTTTTGTAGTTATTTTAATTATTTTCCATTTTCACGCGCTCGCACAACCATTGACCGCATTCACCGACTGATTATATGCCTGCATGCAGGGGTAATTGCTATGTGTGACGTGGCGTGTGACATGTGGCATGCTGAAATTTCGGCTGACGCGATGATACTCTCGGTTATGCGCGCTTGCATCATAATTTATGGATAAATTTTAAAAATAAACACCCAGCAATAATATTTACGGACACACAAACATGCATATATATATACATATTTACATGTAATAGCTTGCCATACTCTATGTTGCCACTACAGTTCACGTGCAACACATGTATTTGCTGGCAGTTGTGTTGCACGAAAAAACTGTTGTTGGATTTAAAGAGTTTTCTTCAAGGAAATTACAAATGCATGACCTGCTAAAGTCACCCATTGGGCGTTGGTGCGGGAGAGCGTGCTGGTAAATCCAATTTCTATCGACTGCAAACCACGCCAAAGTAGGAAGTTGCACAAAAGCACAGCATTTCGTGTGAACAGATGCGATCGTCGATTTCGTTGCGCTGTCGTGCATATTGCTTGGCTTCATGACTCACAGGTGCACGCGTCTTGTACCGTTAGGTATCTAACCATGTAATTTTCTCATTTCTTCCTTTACTGTGTAAACGCCTTCCGAACAGGTGGAGTTGCAGCCCCATTTCCATAATATCAACATAAATACCTTAATGAGGCCAATGGAGAGGCGCGCATTAGACTGGAAATGCTGTGAAAAGGTTGTGGCTGTAGCTGCGGCTAGCTGCTGTTGTTGACGTTGCTTCGCCATATTGGCATGCAACAAATTGATTTCATAACTCCAACACGCTATATAATGCTCAGCAAAATATTTCAAGCAGCTGTCGCTATCGTCGCTTTTTGAATTATTTTCCGTCGTCTGTGTCCGATAAGACTTATGCTCTGTACACTCGCCGAAAATTGGGTTAAACGCAAGTGGGCGCCACTTAGTTTTAAGTGTTAACGGTAACAGCTGTTCACTGCGGCATGCCATGCCAACATTTTAATATTTTATTTTATTTGTTATTTTTATAGGTTATGAATATCTATAAATTTAGTATATTTGCTTGCAAATACTGGATATTTGATTGAGTGGTTTTCAGCTATCTATCATCTGAGCTAAAATGGGAGCTTCTCAATGCTAACATGAAAGAAAATGATTGTATTGATTTTAAAAATTACACGACTTGAAGGATAAGAACATAAACAGTAGGGCGTAAGAGAGAAAAAAGTATATGAAGAGCGGTGAATGATAAGTAATTTAATTTTTGAAAATATTTTAATTTCGCAAGTTTAAAACCTCTCGAGCTCTCCCTTACGCACCTTATAATGAATTTTCGAAAATGCTTTTAAATTTGCTCATAAAAATAATAAACAAGCTTATTGATTACTGTTTTGCTTGTGTCGTTGTAGTAAGACCGAATATTTATTAAGAAGCGTTGATTGGCTAAAATTGAAGGTCGCAAGAAAACCCAATTCCAGGTGATAGCACTTAAGCCGTAACCAGGCTCTTTATATTCCAAAATGAGACCTAACTAGACTCCATTCAACAACTCACTGGGTTGGACAAAATTTCTACGGTTTTTCCACTGATAATTTCTTTTATTGCGCTATCGCGTGAACATCTCTGCTCTACAGTTTCATTGTGCTCCACATGTCTTGTACATTTTGCCGTTTCGGCTTTTACCAAATTTCAAAACATGAGATAGCAGGGATATATGGGCTGTGATAACTACTACTATGTTACCTAGTTTCGTCTTTCCTAGAAGGGAAAGCCACAACCGACACTAGAAAGGATTGGTACTCTTAACCTTACATTTTACTTATAGATAGCAATCTTAGATATTACTTTTTGATCGGCTTGATGGTTCTGTAATTCAACGAAATCTTCCTAAACCTAATCACGAAAGTTCTTTAATAAAAATTTCGGAAAGATATCGTTGGATTTAATTTGAATAACTAGACAGATAATCGATTGTTCTCTTTAACAATTTGGGAAGAAAGCATTCAATTAGGCGCTTAAGTATTTTCTCCAAACTTGTATGATTAGCTGTCTACATACACAAATTTCGATTTGCCTTTTTCTAGTAAATTTCCTAAACCCTACATCCATTTTGCTATTTCCATCGTAAGCAACCTTAACACTTAAAAATATTGCGCGTACTTTTTATTTAGCGCATTTGGGTTTTTCGGTTCCTATATACATAAGTATTGTATATGTATGTCACCACGGGGGTTCTCATTAAAAATTTACTCACTACATTTTTAAATACATATGTGTGTATGCTATTTGCCCTCACACAATAGCTGTGCCCATCATTTTGTTGCAGATTATGTCCTTTATTTATTGTTAAGGGTTCACATGTCCTAGCAGCATGTTAACACAGTCGCATTACATGTTCATAATATACTTAATTTATAAAATTCCATACAAATTGCATTGCTCATAAATTCTCAAGCAGAGACACAGAATAAAAGGGCAGAACCGCCAAGCAAACCAAGCACGAAACTGGCCTACTACGTGTGGACCGCAACCGATTTTTACACACACATTAGTACATAAGCACCGTAATATTATTTGCACTGTGTTGCTGTTGTTGTGCTTTATTTTAAAATCTCTGACTGTGTTATTCGTCCATTTATGTGTTTTTTTCTTTTTCTTCCTACGTTGCTTCTACTTTTCAACCGCATTGTAAATTCCTAACTGCCACTGTTTTTCTGTCATTACCTCCGAGTGACTGCTACCTTTTGCGCTAATGGACTGATCCCTGATCTGTGCAAGCGAATACAAAAATGATGGAACTTTTTGTTTAGAAGTGATGTGCGTAGAGAAATACATATGTACATATATATACCTTGTGTACGAAATGAGGCATTTAATCTGGTGCAGTGGTGAAGATCCCGATATGTAGGGACAGAGGCCTTTCGGGACTGTGATATTTTTATTTCACGGGAATACAGGAATATTTAACTTAACCTTTTGGTTCTTTCAATGTGAAGAAATGCAATCGTGATGGAGAAGAATTATTATAATCTGTCTCAAGGTAATAAAGGCATCTAAAATAATTTAGTTGAGTAATAAATGAAAAAAATATTAAAGCACGATATTGAATTCCAATACAAGAAAGCTTGTGAATCGGAACCCGCATAACATTATTTCTCAACAGGTTTATTAAATATCTTAAAAAAGAAAAATTAATAAAGCACGATATTAAGTACCGTTACAAGAAATCTTGTGACTCGGGATCCCAAGTATTGTTATTTATTCAACAGATGCATTAAATATGTTTAAAAACAGAAAAAAAAATAATAAAGCGGGATTATAAATCCCGAATCTTGTAATTCGGGATCCCGAATAACATGCAATATGGTAAAGCAATTCTTATTTGCATTACAATTATTAATCCCGTTTCTAGACACTTTGCAATTCGGGATCCCGAATGAGGCTTCTAAGTACTTGCATGAACGTCTCGTCATTTCGGCTTCCATTTAGCCAGTATTTGTTGGTACGATATGAGAATGTGCAAACAAATGAAAAATGCCTCTTTGTTAGTGTGATAACTGTTTTGTTTTATTTTCGTAGACTTTTAAGGATCTTTATTTGCCTTTGTGACAGGAAACAAAAAGCACACACAGAAGAGGAGGCAAATACACAATACAAGGAAAAAAAACTTGAAAACTGTTGAAATAAAATGCAAAGGTACATGAAATGTAAGCACATGCAGTCATAAATACCGTCATAATGACATATTTGCGGTCATGTTTACAGACTCTTAAAATCTTTTCATACAAAAAAAGTATTTTTCTTTTTTAGATTCTTTATCTGCGGTCTTTGTCTGGTTAAGAAGGTCAACAAGCATTATGACTGGGCTAAATAATACGCAAAAAGTCTGAAAAAAATATGGAAAAAAGTTGGAAAAAGAGTTAAGAGGAATATGAAAGAATGATGATATTATATTTTCATATCATTACTTTTTCAAACAAAAATCTACGTACGCTTGTTGAAAAAGGAAGCTTCTCCCTGATTAGCTGACAGATTCGACATTGGATGTGAAGCAGCTGCTGCTGCGCCCTCGGCGCTATATAAGTTGATCAGTTACAGTCGGTGAACATTTATGCCTTGTTTCTCATTATAACAAGATATAAATCTAGTATGTACTTGAGCATGAAGCGTGTATATTTCACTTGCACAGCAAAACGATTTGTTTCCACACTTTTCAGCTGCCTTGTTATTCCTGCGGCATAGTCCACAAAGCCAGCAACTATGGTGTCTGTACTTGTATGTGCGAATGTATGGGTTGGCGTGCACCTTTGTTGTTTCCACCATTTATCATTGCAAAATAATTAGGTGTAGCAAATTTCAACAACTTCTTGTAATATATGAAATATGTATATGTAAAATGCTGATCAGCTGTAGGAAGAGCAGAGCATAAGGCAAAAGTGGTAGAAATCCCAAGAGTTACGAAAGCAGTATGTGAGCGATTTCAGCATCAGAAATGCTGTGCTCCCTTTAAGAATACTTCGATTTCGCATATTTTCGCATAACGCATTTGGCCTGCAGCGAAATTCTACAAAATCGCAAAAGCCTACTTAACTACTCGTAACTACCCACACAGACTCTTGGCGCAGCGCACACGCAATCAAAGCCAGCACTGCAGTCGGGGATTATCTTACGGTCGCTTGGAGGATACTCCACTATCCTGGTATGTATGCGGTCTGCTTATATTTTTGTTCTCTACTTTTTTGCTTTTTACATGCCTTCTCTTACGCATTACTTGCTTGAATTTCTTTTCTTTTCTTTTTCGGTCATCTTTTGTGCGCCTTAATAAAAGCCTGTTTTGCGTTTAGTGCCGCTCCGCGTGGTCGGCATTGCAGCAGCCGCTTCTTACGGCATAGTACGCTTTTGTACCTTTAATTTTCCTTTATTCCTCCTATTTGATGTTGCAACGCGTTTTTGTCCCGATACGTTCCACTCGATTATGCGATTATGCATGACGTACTTTTATTACGGTGTAACTTGGCTGCTGTATGCAAAAATATACAGGAGCTCGTACATTTCTCAGGCTCAACTTTTTGCATTGCTAAGGGTGTGAGTGAGTCCATTTGTCGTATTTTTAACTGAAGCTAGGAGAGTTTCTCGTTTTGTTCTCACAATCGTTCCAATTGTGCATGATAATCTTGACTCGGCTGTTTAGTAAATTACAGCAATACATATCCGAATCACTGCAACCGTATATAAATGTGTTGCTACATAGTTAGTCTTATATATCTAAAATGTGGACAAGGGTTGACCAATACTTATACATAGTTGATCTCTGACGAGTTCCTTAAAACTGTTTCGTAATGAAAGATATTAAGAGATAGCCGTTCTTAATCTCTCTCTTTCTCTCTGTCGCATTATTTCTTCAATCAAGAAGATATTCTCATCCTAACGAAACCAACTTAGCTAATCTTGATCAATCAATGAAACTTTGTTGGCGGTCCAAAATATCCTTGACCTTAACCAGTCTTACCCGATCACAAGAATAACCTGTGATTGTCTCTAGCGAACAAGGTAGGACATACATATATCTCCAGAGAAAAGTGAAGCTCAGCACTACTGCCTTCCGCGTATAAAAAAAAAACTTCTGTTCCTGAAAGCGCGTGATCAGAAAGCTTATTAGGACTTTTAAAGGCGGCAATGTTTGGTTTCCTCATGATAGCCTCCAGCATTACCATCTTCGTTAACAAGCCTTATTAATCTTATTGGGTTTCAGCCTGACGCAATAATACCTTTACGGTCTCTCGCAAACCTCTTCTAAACCTTTTTCGCTGAAGCGTCATTACCCATCCTCACAGTTGCAAATAAAAATAAAGATATCTTGCGAAGAACTTTTGTTTCGAACACTCCACGCGCAAGCTCATTTCTTAGGCGCTGTGAGCGCTTCGTAGGGTGTTAAATTTGTCTGTCGATTGATAGGACTTTACATCCTAATTGCCTACCAAGCCCCTAATAGTAGTGATTCGTAATTGCTATCCTTCGCTGGATCTCTAGGCTGACCTAGCGAAGCCCAGGTGGTGATCTTACTTGGTTGTGGAAGAGAGTATGCAAAGTTAAGTGTCTTCGCCGGGTTGGCGAAGCACCAGGACGATCTTTGCATTTGTTTAATACAAATCGTCATATAACCTCCACATTGGCGCTCCTGGGTAACTATTTCGCACCCGCCGGGTAGTGAGGTAGTTCTGTATACAGTGCTGTCCAATCCACTAGCCATTAAATTTGGATTTTGTTAGTTCTAGGTACCCACCATGCAAAAACAAAATCCAATGAAAGACGACAAAAATACCAGCGCTACTATCTTTTTTAAATAAAAGTGATGCCCATGAGATGATAATGATTGAGTATCAATGATGAAATATTCTCAATGCCAGGCTTAGAAGTTTTGGCCAAATTCATAAAAACAATATTACATATGTATGTATACATATATACATATGTACCTGACGTACATTTATGATTTTCAAATTATGCATTGATACTGGCATTTTCCTGCACGACATTTGTGAAAGTCAACTCTGCAGCACTTCAACGGTTCACTGGCTTATATACACTCTCGTAGGTATTACATACGCACGCCTTGCTCTATTTCTTCGCTTCATCAATAAATACGCACAGCAAGTGCTTTCAACGACTTGGGGGCAAATGCATATGAGCGAGCGGATACATATTTATGCCGTTTTGGGATTTCGATGATTTGAAACAACCTGCCGACCAACCAACCAATCAACTATACGAACCGTTCAACGAATTTGTATGTATGTATGTATGTTTGTACTCACGTGTATTTTTTATAGGTATATGTGTGCATGATTGTGTTTGTGTGCGCATTTTTAGACGCTTTCTTAACCGCCGGTGACTTGGCAACGTACTATGTCAGCGCATAAAAAATTATGAACTTTTTCTTCAGATTCTGTTTTTATGCCACGATATTGCACGTTTTTTTGAATTCACATTTTTCGACTTTTCGACAACTTGACTGCCCGATTTTTTGTGCGCGCCTGCGTTGTACATAAATTTTCAATTCGTTACGTTTAATTTGTGCTGCCACAATGCATTGGACAGCGGCAGTAGCAACAACAAAAACAGCATTTCTGCGCTTTGATCATGATTTCAAGCGTGCGATGTTTTGTGTTGAAAGTGGTAGTATATTTATGTGTGTATATGCGTGTAAATATGTATTTATAAAGCTCATATATTTGTTGAGATATGTATACTGGCGTTTCTGTGTGCTGCTGGAGTTGTATTTTTTTTTCTTATTAAAGTAATTTCCATTAAACTGCGGTGTGTTTGTTTCCATATTTTCGATTTCGTTTGTTTGTTTAAGCGAATATTTCAATTTATTTTTTGATGTGTGTATGTAAATGAAACGTTCACTTCTTCCTCAAGCACACGGCTGCCATACACCTTCCCGGCCCGTATTCGCACGCTCATTATCGTGATTTTTCATTTCCTATCTTCCCTTCTTCGCATTTTCAAAATTCTGTTTGCCGTCTGCTTGGATTTCTGGGAAAATTTTAATTTGACGTGGTACTGCTGCGCCGTGATTTCCCGCACCGAAAATGCACCAACTGCACACACAACACAACAACAACAACAGTAGCCAATGCAAAATGGGCGCGTCTGCTGTAACTTTATTCATAAACGCTTAGACTCTTGCTCGCCGCGCATACACCCCCTTGCCCCGTAGCGTGCATATGCCGCCTGGCGGTTGCCAGCTGTTGACAGCCACAACAACAACATTTGTGTTTGCGCGGCAGCTTGCGCGGCAGCTTGCCAAAATCATTTTAGAGTCAATGCGCTGAGCGCTCCTAAATGGCAGCCATGGCATTTGTCTGCCCATTTTTCTAGTGGCATGCCACTCATCCATTCGTTTACCGTCGCTGCCATTTGTGTAATGTGTTATAGTAAATGCGCCGTTGTTGCTGTTAATTTTATTTTTGTTTTTGAAATTTCCCTTTGCTGTCACTGCGTTATTATTTGTTAGTGTTGTTGCACATTTTTTGTGGCCCTTTAGCGCGATGAGCAATTATTACGACACCACTAATTGTTCGGCATGTTGTGTCATTTTCAAAGCAATGCTATTTGCAACGTGCACCACATAAGCCAACACTAATTGCATAGCACCAACTGCCGTATGCGGTGGCATAAAATAAATGCAACAATAACGCACAACAACAAATATTGCAACTCCATACACACAAGCGTCCCTCCATCGCTCACCCGCTCAACACGCCAAGCTGACAGTTTGCCGCTCTTGGCCTCTGTAGTAGCGTATTCGCCACAAAACACACACACACATACAGCCAAACAAACGGGACTGCATGCAAGCGCATTTGTAATTGCCGCCGCACTTGCATTTGATACATTTTTGTTGCATATTTCTTTGAAACTGCTTAAAAATAGTTTAAGTACGCGCTGTTGCATGCCTCAATCATGCCGCTGTGCATTGATAGCCAACATATGTATGTATGCTTGTGTGTGTGTGCGTGCGTTAGTTGCCATAGTTGCACGTGTTGTTTGTTTTATTGTTAGTGTTATGTTTTCATGAAAAAATCATTTATTATTTGCATGTGTATGTATGTGTGTGTGTATGTATTTTACCAGTCGCCTCTTTTACTCTCATTTTACCGCATTATTTTTGATAAATCTGAGACCAAGGGGTGCCTCACAGCTAAAAATTGCCCCAAACGACGGCCGCCTTTGCTGTTTGCCGACTTCATTTACCAATTGCATACATACATACATATATGTGCATATATCACAGCTACTTGCTGGGCGCGCTGGTTGCGCTCTGTGCCGCGCTGTGTGCTGCTGTCAAGTGTGTGTGAAAAGTGTCAGAAATCATAATTAGTCAATTTCGAGTTGTGCCACATATGTTTTGTGTTTACGCGCCTTTGTTGTTATTATATATATGTATACATACTATGTATGTTTGTGTTAAGTCATACCTGCTGCTGTCGGCATCTGATTCGAATTTAAAAGGCTAGCCAAAGCATTGATTTCATGTTTATTGCATAATAATAATTCAGTTATTATAATTAATTATTATTTGACAGTAAAATTATCACCATCGGCACTCTCAAATAATTTCGATGCAATTTAATAGCTACTAAATATATGTGTGTCATCATGTATCACACTCACAAATAGTATTATTAATATTTGTATTGAAGGCTGATAAAAATGGTATCGTTAAATAAATGCAATTTTAAACCTGTATACTATTAACTGTCTTCGATTCACCATTTATCTGTTCGCTTAGTTATCGAGTTAAATTCGTACAAGAGAGTGTGCGGATAACTCATTAAAGTGATATAGCCGCTATCTTCACTGCTATCAAGTTTTGTATTGCATATTTTACAGCAGTTTTATAATTTTACATGGTTCAAATGACAAATACAAATACAAATTGTTTTAAGTATCTGATATAGTATGTTCGATTCGCTGGAGAGTAAGGCTTGGCCAATTGAAGACAGCTATTATTTAATTTAAATTTTCTGAGCTTCTTATTTGTAGTCGAAATTTTATAATCAATTTTAGTTAGTTATCGGAACACTTTCTAATAATAAATCGTTCTTAAGTAAAACAACCAGCAAATTAAATTAGTTTACTAAAATTTTACTTTTTTAGTACCTTACTTTAACATAGATAATTACTACACTCTTTTCGGCTTAATATCTTCTTCCGGCCAAAATAATGATACTATAATCCCAGAAGTAAAGAACAGAATTCGAAAATACACAAGTCGAAAATCGATTGTTAAACTTTTATCGGATATAACAATCGTAAAACTTAAATGATTATTTTATAAAAAATTGCAAAATTAATTAATTAAAGCATTAATTGATTACTTAAAAATCGTAATCGTATGTATAAACTTTCATCCTTATAGATCAGTTTTAAAAAATGAAACGGTTCTGGTTAGCCGATAAATTGTGAGCAATCCAACATTGATTGTCATGAAGGGTGCAATTAGCAGGGAATTATCTACTATAAGCTACTTAGCTACTACCAAACTCTTAATTCGAAACTGTACTGTCAACGTTTGGACAATCCGAAAGAAATAATCTTTCAGAAGTATCCAGCTTTGGTGAATAGGAGAGAAAATTGTTTTCCATCAAGACAACGCCAGACCACGCACATCGATAGTGCATCGCCAGAAGCTGTGTGTTCTTATACATCCGCTTTATAGTTTGGATCTGAATTGATTATTACCTCTTGCCTCAACAATACTGTACCACTTTTTTTTATCAATAGGAATTATGATTACGGAAAAAAACAATGGACATTTGACCTAAACCGATTATTTCTATTTAATGCCAAAATAATGGATTTATTTTTATTATATCTTATACATAAATATATCCACATAGATATAAATATACCGTAAACGTGTACTCTTAGGTACACGTGACTAGTGCACTTATTAATTTGTATTTATGGTGATAAAGCAGAAAATATTAATATTTATCTTTTCGACTTTGTTCACTTTAGACAAGAAATTTACATACAACATATATTGTTTTTGTTGTTCAAATACCCTTTTTAAGCTTTTCTAACTTATTGTTTGCATTACGTTAATGCGCTTAAATGTAGGCAACGATTTATTTTTAGTATATGAAATACACAAATTAGTATCGTTTCTCCGTTGCAGCAAAATAATTTCTTTATAATTACTAAATTAAATGCAAAACAAGCTTAAATTTTACTACTCTGGCCAAACATAAAACTTCAAAAGGGTGGCTCTGTTACGGTAAACTTTTGAAACGCAGCTGTCATTTTTCGTCAACAAGTTAACAAGTGTTAACTAAAATGAAGCACATTAATTCCAAAAAGTCACAGCTAAACAAATACAAGCTATAATGTTTGCGAAAATATACAGCTGTTTATATTTCGGTAAAGCAAATGACATATAAATAGATGATTATGCTCACCAAAATTATGTAAATTCACTTATTGATGTTTATGGCTTAATTAACTCAATAAGGAAAAATGTAATTGCATAATAAATAAATATGCAAATAATGTATATGTTAATTTCAATTATATAATATATAACAAGAGTAGTAATAATAAAACCACTACAATATATAATGCAACACAATGGAAATGAGGCTCAGTAACTAGAAAAAAACATTAAATGTGCAAAAATGCCATACAGGAAATTGAGATTGTGAAATTTATAATACTGGATGAAAAGAAATGTTGATATATGTATGTTTATTTTTACTTTAATGGCTATCATATACATGCACTACAATAACTTTCAAAATCTTCATATTAAAATATTTCTATGTCAGCTCATTGAGCAAGTTAGATTTTTAGCAATATATGTGTACAAGAAATATTCCTCAAAAAGTTTTATGTCTGTATATATTTTAGACGAGATTTGTTTTCGCCATTTTATAATTTTATTATAATAAAAATGAAATATAAATTTGGAACAGTTTTTGGAACTTTTAAAATTTCTTTACAAAAATAAAATATTATTTCTTCAATAAAAAGATTTTAAAATTCGAAAAATGTTTTATCACATGTATTAATATATAACATAGGTATATATATATTTTTTTTATAAATATTAAATATCCATTAAATATTTAATATATATATATATATATATATATCAGATATCTACTCTGTTCACTCAAAAAATGTATACTTAAGTCAACCTCAAATTCTAATGAGCTTCATTTAAACATCATACTCATATACGCTCAACAGTATTCCTACAGGGCATTGCAACATTTTAAAGTATGCTAACAATTCGCAAAGTGATTAAACTTGTTTACTGATGCAACACATTTATAAATATTACAAAATTATTATTGACACATTTAGTATTAGTATAATAGAATATATACACGCCCACACATATAAAAAATACCTATACACACATAGAGCTGCTTAAATGTTTATTTAATAGGAATAAGTATGTATGTATGTGTCCGGCTCGTTTTGGTCTTTTATGCAAATATATCTCATCAATTTACATAGAATATCATTGGCAGGATAATAGTATAATAATATTTATTTTATATGATGCTAGTGTAAACAAGAGGGCAAAACAAAATTAATTAAAAGTTGATAAACAAAAGTCAGCTCAACAAATTGGTGAATGCAAATGGTTAACGCACTCAGAGAGCTCTACAGTTATGTCATACAATTATATTCGAATACATACATACATACATGATTGCTTAAAAACGGAATAATTTTATGCTGCAGTTTTATTTGTTAGTAGCACGGTTACGTCAACGAGCTGGGTTCGACAAGTGAACAGCTTTTGTTTATGAAATATCGTATTTTCAAAAGAAAAAATAAATTATAATAATCGAAATAAGTTAAAATTAAATTGCAATTAATTGCATTAACTTTTATTATTCATCGAGAATCATATTCAGGATCAATGAGATTATAGTACGCATACACAGAATTACTTGAAATTCGATTGCATATGGAGTAAACTTTCTAGAGCAAAATGCTTGAGATCGCCCTCAAGTGTTAGCCACTTTAAAAGCCAGGCCATGTTATGCATATGAACGGATAGATAACCAGTACATTCTACTATATTAGTCATGTTTCGGAGATTTGTATATCTTCTAGGAAGTATGCATATTTATAAGAAACCTTGCCCTGGGTTTCCCGTCGGAAAGCTGGTAAGCGAATCACTGCTCTCTAAGAGCTCTTCAAAATAAGACACATACTTAGTTCTGGATATAATATCCAGCCCTCAAAAGCTGCATGAATTATTCATAGCAATAAATAATATAGTATCTAATTCTAATAAGGAGTTCGCCAATTACCACAACGTGGTATTCATTAAGTATTGTCAATTAAATTTCTCGGTCACTCGAAACTGTTTTTATACTCTCGCAACCTGTTGCTACAGTGTATAATAGTTTTGTTCACCGAACGGTTGTTTGTATCACCTAAAACTAATCGAGTTAGATATAGGGTTATATATATATAAATGATCAGGATGAAGAGACGAGTTGAAATCCGGGTGACTGTCTGTTTTTTTTTTCATGTTTTCGTCATTGATAGTACCATTATTGTAGGACGTCATCGCTATCAAAATTTCTATGGTCTCATCTATCTCAATATGCTCCCTGCTTTCTAAACACAAAATAATGCTTACTTTTTACTGAAGATTCGGTAACATAATTGCATTGGAAGTGTGAACTTTTCAACAAAAACTCTGGCTCAAAAACTTTTTGAGTAATAGATGTATGGTATGTACATATATACTTACATACATATGTATGTGCATGAATAATATGAGGGAGTATATAATATGCGGCGGGAATGAATATCTGACAATATAAGCTTCTTTTAAAATTAATCAGCCGTTCGGAGGCTTACTAAAACTAGTGCCAACTTCATTTAGTATGGCGTTCGAAACACTTATAGTAATGTCAAGAGAGAGTGAAAGAGCAGCTCGGCTATGCATTTAGCAAAAAAGTAAGTTTCAATTATATATACGTACATGTGCGAATATGTACATATGTATGTCTTCTTAGGCTAGTACAATAATTCTATTTTCACTTTTGTCACCTCTCGTGTTAATTAAAAAATCAGCTAAATAAACGAAATACCGCAAAAACATTGCGTGTTAAAGTAACATAAATTGTTGCCGCAGCAAAAGTGGCACGAATAACAGTGTTGAATGGAAAAACAACTGTCTTATTTATTACCCTTATTTTTTTTTTTTTTTGTTTTTTGGTGCCAATATTCCACAAAATTTAGGTGTCAGTTTTAATTGGCAACTCGCTCCTGTTAACACAACCGCGTCTGGTGCACAAAACCCAACTGGCACGCTATTATTGGTAGCATGAAAAACTATTACAACTCTAATTTGTGGCATAAATGTAAAGATTTTTTATAAACAAAAGAACGCAAGTGCAGGAGTAATTAACTTTTTATTTTTATAACATTTTTATGACTTCTTCTATGAGCATAAAACTGTGCTAAAATAAACAAAATGCAACAAGCAACAGTTAATAGCCGCTATGTAAATTCTATGTGTACAAGTATAAGATTGTGTTTATGTATGCGTAAGTGCGGTCTCTATTTATGTATGTAGTATGGTGACGAGTGAAGGAGCAATAAAGTGTGGCAATGAAAGTTGAGTGTGTTTCGGTTTTGGTGAATAGTGACTTTGATGAGAATTTTCCTTAATTGCAATGCACAGTACGCAATAATACCGTTTCACAAAAAGAATGCATGCGGCCAACGTTAGTATAAAGAGCAGAGAGATGAAAAAACAAAATTGGAAATTAAACGAAGGACTAAACAAATTAAACAGGAAGTGAATGATTCGAATGATGACGGGAAATTGAAGGCAAATAGCAAAGAGTTGAGGCAAACAATTTTTATTTCTTATACATCCTACCTTGCCACATTTCGAATTAACGAGTTGAAATGCATTTGTGGCTGGCAACAGACGCCGTAGCACCGCTACAGCTCATACACAGCATTAACACATACACGCACACACACACACATATGTACATACAAATTTTTTATTGACAAATTTTCCATTTGAACAACAAAAGCGGCAAGAGCTATAGCAATCATCAACGGCAGCAGCTACAATCGAAATGAAAATTCTTCTTGTTCGTGTTGTTGTAGCACACTGAACTTGCTGCATTTGTTGTAAGGCAAATAAATCAACGCAAGCGGACAGCATGCGGCATTTCAGTTACCACGACTACATACACTAAATAGTTTAATAGCCAACAACAAGCGGTAAAGCGCTGGCAGCAACAACAAAAAAAGTTAATAAAATGGAAATAAAAGGCAATGCCACCCGTTGCAGTGACATCAATCGACGTCGCGGCAACAGTAACAGTACTGAATGCTGTTTGTGCTAGCGAATTTGTTTATCGTGCAACTTTTGTGAATGTGTAGTTGTGTATGCGTGTGTGAATAAATGCAACAAATGCTGCATTGCAGCGAGCTCCCACTGTTGCTGCTGCTGCATTTGTTGCATGCATGAGCGCACGCCGACAAGCAAACACACATACACATAAGTATGTATATGTGTAAGCAAATGCAAATAAAAAAACACGGTAGGAAATTTGTTTGCTGGCATGTATATGTATGTATGTAAGCGCTTATGCTTCTACTTTTCAAAATTTGTTTACTTTTCACAACTACCAAAACGCACGCACACACACAGACATAGTTATTTATTTGAATTCTTTCTTTACAACCCGCTCTCTATACTAGGCACCTTTATGCCAACACGATATACACAAATATTTTTACCTACAAACATTTTGGTATACAAGTTTTTAGTGCCTCTCGGTTATTTGCTGACAAGACAGTTGACCTGATAGTCAGCAAAGCTCAGATACATATGTATATACGCAACAGTTGAGCTGTCCGCTCTTCCGTTTACTCTCTTGTAGGCATTTAAAGCAAATCATATATTAAAATTGTTTTACTTGTTGTCGAATTATGTAGCACCCAGTCCCCGAGCATGAGCTTAGTCTATAGTAACCCTCTTAAAAAAAAGTTTCAGGCCAAAAGCTATTTCCTGCAGGCTAACAAATTAGGATATCTTTGTCAACGTATTCAAATTAATTTTTATACTCTGAACAGCGTATATTAAGTTTGCCACGATGTTTGTAACACCTGAAAATGATCAGCTTGAAGAGCTTAGTCGTTTTAGCCATGTCCATCTGTCCATCCGAATATCTGTCCATCTGTCAGTATATACACGATCTAGATCCTCAGTTTCTGAAATATCGTCCTGAAAATTTGCACACGACCTTTTCTCACCAAGAAATTGCTCACTTGTCGGAACCGTCGATATCAAATCACTATAGTTGTCGTTCAAGCTAAACGATTGGAATTAAGTCCTTGTAAAGAAAAAGATTATTATCTGAGACATTGCAATAATATCCGAACACATTATTCAGATCGCACCATTATAGCCCATAGCTGACATACAAACTAACCGATCCAACTCAAGTCCTCAAGTCGAAAACTTTTTTATTTGACAACGAACCCTCCCAAAATTTACCACTAGTTATTACTCAAATCATTACCACAATCTCCAAAAAAATTATTAAGATCGGATAGCTATAACATATAGCTGCCATACAAACTGAACGATCAAACTCAAGTCCTTGTAAGGATAGTCTTTCTTTGGCAAAGTATCTTCACGAAATTAGGCATAGATTATTACTCGCGACATTGCAATAATAACCCAATAAATTATTCAGATCGGACCACTATAACCTATTGCGGCCATATAAACTGACTGATCCAAATCAAGAAAATGATCTTTTTGTACCTTTTTATGTTATAAAAATGCACTAGTGGAGCGTATAATTGCTTCGGTGCAGCCGAAGTAAACGTTTTTTCATATTTTATGCTTTAAATATTTCATTTCACAGCTTTGAAATTCAGAATTTAACCAAACTATGTGTAATCATGTAACACAAAATTAGCTATAAAAATCATCTGCCCTTTCCTTACCAGAATAGTACCAAGCTCCATCATGGAGAACTTTGTAGAGCTCGATTTAAAAAAATTGTGTATTTATGTTTTGACTTAGATGGTAATAGACACAATTGCGCCACAACAACTGCTAGAGAACTCGAAAGAGCTTATTGTGGAGAAAATAACCTACTTTGTGCTTTCAATGACGTTAATTTGCTAATTCCAAATCATTTACTAAAATATATTTAAGAGGATGAAATACATTAAAAAACATACCCTAAAATGTTAAAAGATATATTCATAGAATAGTTTAGTACATGTGATGTTAACATTATTTTCAGAACATGAAACGTAAAAAAACCACCTAGCATTAAATACCCAGCCAACTACTGAATTCACCAGAATTTTTTTAATATGAAAATTTTATTACGAATATTTAACATTTTTAATCATAAACTCCATAGCATCCCTCGTATGTCACCCATTTTGTATACGTCCAGGAAGACTACCTAATTTTTCCAATTAAGGAAACATTAATTTAGAATTCTCCAATTCCAAATTTTTCACTTCCGTCTCACAACCTTCGGCGTATGTCAGTGTCTTCTGACATGTGTACCTGTACAATGTTTGTGTTGCATTTATTTTATTGCACCCTCCTAAATGCAAGCCTTTATACACATACACATAAACTTTTTGTGTACTTGCATGTAACTTTTATTTGCTTGGTTTATTTGTTTTACACAAATTATAGCCCAGCACTTGAGTTGAGGTGAAGTAAAAAAAAACTATACCACAGCCATAGCAGTTAATACGGCTTTCATTTATAACTTTCCTAGAAAAACAAAACAAAATCAGTTTTACAGTGTTTTATGTCTTGTTTTTGTCTTTGTTGGTAAGGTTTCAAACTGAGTGTTTCCAATAATTGTTTAATTTTCAGCGTTTCTCTTGAGCTTGCAAGCAAAACATATAGTCAACATGTTGTAGAAATTGAGTTTGTATGTTTGTAAATATATGTATATTAGTTTTTTCATAAGAATTTTATTTTCGAAAATTTCTTTACACTCTTGCAAATAGATTCTAGCCTAAAAGGTTTTCGAAGAGCAAATACTGCTAATGGATAGTAGATGTCTTTCGGTTATTAAACAAGCTTATTTACAAGCTTCTATTAAACACCTTCCAAGTAGATTTTCAAACAAACATGCCACATGAACTTAGTTACCAAGGTAGTTTTTTTGGAATCTCTTGAATCGTTCATAGAATTGGAAGACAGCGGGAAAACGAAAAAGATTAAAAAAAGATTTTTCTTTGTATATTTTTCTAAAAACTTTATATCAATTCAATGATCTGCTAATTGTTCCAGGCTAGTCTTTTAACATTATACTTTTTGAGCGTTTGCAATTAAGAAAGCTGAGCAAGCGAAATCATTTCAACGACGGCAACAGAAGTAAATGAATCTGTTCCACAAGTTCAGAAGTTGTCCCAAATTTTAAAATAAGAGCGGATAAATAAACCGTTTCGCAAATCCTTCAAATTATATAATAGAAATAATAAATGTACAAATATTGTAAATAGAAAAAGTAACAACACATTTGCGATACACAAAGCTTTTATATGGACCTGATTGATTGATTGATTAATTTGAGGTATGCACCGCGACCTACGGTCTATTGTGCCCTCCCCTAAGTCATATCGTGTCATCTAGGCCCAGCATATTGATAAATTCCAAAATTCTGCTGGGTGCTAGTGAGGCGATACAATCCCTGTGTGGAAACATGGATCCTAACTTCAAACCTTAACATATGAAGCATTCAAGATGAGCAAATATGCTCTCTTTGTTCCCAGAAATGTAAAAAATTTGAGACTCCTCACTTTAAGGTTTAAAATCAATTGACCAAATGCAAATGCTTAATCGAGAGCTTTTAATTCCTCCGCAAGCAAGAAACCAAAAAAAAATATATTTTTTCACTATGGCCTCCCTATTCAATAGTAAAGAAGCAATTAGTTTCCTGTAATTAAAGCGAAATTGTCGATAATACAAAAAGCAGCAAGCAAAGAAAAAGTGATGGACAACAAAAATACAAATAGCAAAATTTCAAACAAACTTAATTGACAACGCTCTTACCACTAACATACATATGTATAAAGGTCGATATGTCTCATCAAATCTAGACACCAATACCCACACCTATGTATATCGTATGTAGCTATCTATCAAAAGCACATATTTCTCATTTCGGTGCTCTTCAGATATTGCTTTTCATACAATTATTTTTCAGCAAAAAAGCAACCAAAAATTGTATGAAATTTTTCAATTACAATCACACAATTACTCAGTTCGGCAAGTGTATTAAAAACATGTCCAAAACGACAGCGCAAACATGAAAAAATCCCTTCATATATGTATGTATGTACAGCAACGGTATATAACATAAGTGTATAGGAAAAAAGTGCTAGTTTGTATGTGAATATTGAACTGTTTACGTACCAATTTATTTAGCAACTTTTGCGCTTTCCAGATCCTTTCGTATGAGTAGACACTGATGAATGAGATGAGCATCAATTAAATGTTGAAGAGTGTTTTTTATGCAAAAAATATCGTTGATTTACGTTTTCTTTAGTTGTTTAAATTTGTGTATTTGCATGTGATGCATCTGTTTTTTAATATTTAATTATTCTTAATTAAATTCATTTTTATTTTAAATTATTAATTTTTTTTTATAGTATTTTATTTTAGTTTTAATATTAATTTAGTTTTAATTTTAATTTCATTTTATTCTTTATTTTTTAATTTTACTTAATTTTATCTTAGTATATTTTTATTTATATTAATTATATAATCTTATCTAATTTCATTCAATATCTTTTTAATTAATTTAATTTAATTTGTTTTTTCTACAATATTATTTTATTTAAAATTAATTTTTTTATATAATAATTTTTTATGATTTTTTTAAATTTGATTTATTATATTTCATTTTATTTTTCTACTTAATAATTTAATTTAATTTTTTATATATTTTCTATTATAAATTTTTTTATTTTGCATTGATTAAGACCGGTGTTTCTGAAATTTCTGCTCGAAGTATTTCCGATTTTCTTAAATTTTTGCCCTCTAATCACCTCTTCTACGAAGTTTTAAACCCATTTGTTTACCACATGTTTTAATACAAACCAATATTTGTATGTATGTTTAAGATATTCTCACACGCCAAATCGTAATGTACGTTTAATAGCCACACTTTGCATGTTGCAATGTAATTTGCATGCCACAAACATTTTTTAGCACTTGTTTCCGTACACGCAATGACGTGCGCTAATTGAATTTTTCTTCACTAATTTTCGTAAGTAATTATAAGCATGTCTTACAGTTTTGAATACAAATTTTTACAGTTGTAAAAGTATATAGCGCTCATTCTTATACCTTTCACTGCTATAATTGTGCAACATGCTCACGCACACACGCGCACACAAACTCAAGGCATGTACTCACAAACTTGGCTCGAAGTAATTATGTGACGGCAGCCAAAGTAAAAATTATATCACGCGTCAACATGCAACACGCTGACGCCAAAGTGGCAAGTCAGCTATAAGGAAAAAAATCGTTATGCAAGTTGTTTATTTCTTTTATTAATTTTTATGCACCCAGTTTGCACTTTATTAAATTTAATTATCATTGTGTAATGGCTGTGGCAAGCTTAGTGTGGCGTCATACATTTTTTTATTATTTTATTATTATTCATATATGTATGTATACTTGTTTTAGTTTCCTATTATGTTAGTCATTCAATTGAGCCATGCCTTTTTTGTGCAACGCGATTGCAACGTGTGCGAATGGTGCAAACTTTGCCACTTTCCACAAACTTGCAACATTGTAAGCGCCATGATATAGATAAGCCCCATTCAGAGGTGAGTAAAACATTTGACGCATAACCGCTTTGTACCTTAGTTTCTCGATTAGCGGAAATGTGTAAAAAAATGATTGGAGAACGAAAGTTTTGCGAGGGCAAAAGGAAGTTTACTAGGCTGATGTAACTGTTTGGATGGAAACATGAGCAACGGGTATTAAATAGAAAAACATCAGAAAACTCATGCATTTGTCTTAGGCAATATTTTATGAAAATAAAAAGATATGTGGCACAAAGATGGATGGTTATGGATTTCTATAGACGTCATGTTAGTGGTGCTTCGTAAGTAAATGCCTAGACGTAAATTGATTCCCAAAAAATAATTAATTATCAGCAGATAAAGTGTATTTCGAAATTCTGAGAGTTTATTGTCCAACTCTCTGAAAATCCTAACAAATACTATACATTTAAAAAAAAATAAATTATTAAGATTATTGTATGGTTCCGAGTAGTATGTGATACTCAGATACAACCGATAAAACCACAAGAATCGTAAGTCGGTTTGATGTCTGATGCGTTCGAAGTTTGTACTCTTCAAGTAATCAACGTTATATTATATCGAAAAAACTATTTTCGATACTTGGCAATGCCTGTGATTCTTGATTTCCGGTAATCCGAATATTTCTTGGGTGTTGTTTAGAAAATTTTTGAATTAATAGCTCTTTTTCTAATTTGCTTAAAACTTCCTTTATTATATTTTCAAATAAAGAGAAAAACATATTCTCCAAGATTTAAAACTCTAAATGTATGGATGGCGGTAATAATATCTTAAGATCGTAGGTATAACGCTATTTCTTAACTATAATAAATTTGAAATCGGTCAATCCACTATATTTTTGAAGTTTTAACTGAGTGTCGGTTTAATATTGGGTTGTGATGTAAGAGAAGATAAATTGATAGTTATATTATTAAGCAAACGATAAGTGTTACTGTCCCTAAAAACTTTCAAAACTTCTCAACAAATTCGAAATTATTCAAGATTTGTTCATTCTATATGATACTTCTGACTTCAAATATGCTTGAGGTGACCCCAGTAAGTTTCTTCTTTTGAAACATATTAGGAACTTAGTAGTGATTAGGTAGTCTTGAGCATTTTAGAACGTACTTAATTTCACTTTTATGGCAATATGTTGCGGAGAAAAATATTTCTAAAGTTTTGAATTGAATTCTAAGAATGAAGTAAGCATGACGCTAGGAAAAAATTTTAATCAAAAGTTCCATCACACACCTGTCAATCCTGCTATATACGTCACTTTATTATTAATATGGACTAGTCTAGCGGAAAAGAAATTAAATTACTACACATACACAATTTGTTTAGCGGGCATAAAACCGCTTTGTTGCGACATTTTTTTCGCAGAACTTTTGCATCAATTAAATTTATTCTAGTAAAAGGGCGCTTATGCATCGCTTCACTCCCTTTTATCCGCGCAAATTTAATACGGGCTGAATGTAGTGGGGCGGTTAAGGGGAGTTTGTGTATCGAGTTTGCTGTGTCATTATTGTTCTGGCGTTTGTTATTGGCTGTTGTTGTTAAGTGTTTTGTAATTAATTGAATTTAAATGAAATACAACAATGCCAACATGTATATGTAGCAGGTACATATGTACATACATGCATTTATAGCTAGTTAATGTTGCAAGCAAGTGTGAGGTAGACCATTATAAAAACAAAAATGGGTAACAACATCAGTGCTTTGGATCTTTTTTATTGCAACTACAAGTAAATATAGCTTTTATATTGTCTTTTTTAACGACATGTTGCAACCAAAACAAAAAAAAAAAAACAATTAAAAAAAAATAAATTGTCGTGCAACACTGTTTTTAAATATCTTGTGCATGTTGCAATAACCCTTTTATTAAGTATGTATATGTTTTTTTTCATGTTATTGCTTCATTTCATTTTATCCCCTACGCTTGCCACACAAATGCTGCGCGGCGCTTTGATTTCATTTTTTCTCGCTTTCAGTGAAAACCACCGCCATATAACTATGTGTGCATGTAGATATTTATATACATGTGTGCATACATATATAATTAATCCTTTATGCATTACGCTTGCTGTCTGCTTGCCACGTCTGTCTGTCTATCAGTTGACTGCAAGTGTGTGTGTGTTTGTTCGTGCTGCAACATGCGGCAACCGTTGCAACTTGCCAGCGCAGAAAATCCTTTTTTTGCCACCACCAAAAAACGGTTAGATCAGCGTGAAAGGGGTGGCCGTACAAGCTTCTCAAAATTCAATGCCGTCAGCGCGGCTAGCTGTGTTCGAGCATTTCTCGGGTCGTTCTACCAGCGTTTATTTGTGTGTTTTTCTGCTTGCGGCATGCATACAATGCGCCGAAAGTTGATCCTTGTTAATTTTCGGTGATTATTTTAATTTCTACAATTTGTTGCTGTGCTGCGCTTGATTACGGTATATTCGAGACATACTGACGCTCACCTTTTAAGTTATTTTATTACTTTTTATTACTTGCTATTTTATTGTATTTACTGTTCTTTCACGTAGAAATCTTTTATCTTTATTATTTTACTTTTTTTTATTTTATATACAACTATATATTCTTTTTCAGCACTTATAACATTTTACCAATTTGCCGTAGCGTAATCATTCCCATTTACGCTTTGCAACACAACATTCTTAACGACTCTGTTGTGCCTTCCGCAACAGCCAATGCTATCGAATTGCAAGCGCTTCGCTCTTTATAAAATAATTAATTTAATTGTAGGCGAGCGTTGGCTTACACACACATACATGCACATACATGGACTTTTGCTTGGGTTAAGTATTGGTCACGCGATAAGCGCCTCAAATGACGCTGCACAACGGCATTGCTTGTTGCGGATCATCGACTGACGCCGCCGCCGCCACATGTAATTACGCACACTGTGTAGCAAGTGAAAGCGTAGGCAACGCAACGCTCAAATGGCAGTCAATGGTCAGAAGGATGTGTAGCGTTTATTGTCCGAAGTCACCAAACTGCAGCCATGAAAACACACACATATCACATATACACATACATATATATTTTGTTTATATGTTTTTGTTGTAACAACACTCGTTGGCTAATTAGTGCAATATTACAGACAGTGCACTAGGTTGCACTTGCCACACGTACAAAAACTTACTCACTTACAAAGCGCTACACAATCTTTTATACATGTGAACATGTATATGTGTGTGTGTGTGTGTGCATATATTACCAACCATAGTCTGCGTTTGTATGTTTTTTGTATTTGTCACAAGTGTGAACGATTTGCGGATTTTTGCTCACTCCGCGGCGCACAAAAATTAAATGCACACTTTTAATTAATTAATCTTGTTCGACAACGCGTCTGGCGCATCGTAAGCTCGGCAGCTTAAACATTTTTCCTGTCTGCCAGCACACAAATAGAAATTCACACGCGCCAAAATAAATATATAAACGTACAGTAATTAGCACTTTTTTCCTCTCACGTTTCGTTGCGATCGCGCATCTTAATCAATTGATATATGAAATTTGCACAAATCGACAGCAGTTTGCGCAAACCTCTACAGGGCAATTAAAAACAAATGCAGCTTTTTACCTTAAAATCACGTCACTAACAGCTTACACTGCTTATTGTCGTTGTTGTTGTTTGAGTATATTAATTTTATTTATTTTGTTTTCTTTTATCAATAAATTGCTCACACACTTTTTCACTTCCTGTGCGTTTATTTGCATTTCCTTTTCCCTACTCGTGTATTTCAATAAGCGTACGCGTTCGGCTTTTTCATCCGCTACCGAG